AGCATGTCAAGTGACTGCCCTCACCCCCCTAGACTGGCTACACTCCCCCCTGGCTCACGAATCCCTGATTCTCGTGACAGTATAGGAGCGGGCAGCAGTCTCAAGTTAATCCCATTTCTGTTCAAAAAATGCGGCCTGCCCACCTACTTGTATAGCACCCTCAGGCTAACTAACTTGATCTCAAAATCGACACCATCCCTCTGCCTCGATCGGAAGTCCATGAACCTCAACAGAAGAAGATGGCTTCTTCCCAACTGTTAATAACGAGTTGTAGATAAAGGGGATGTAACTTGTTTCGAATTAGCAGAGTATGATAAATAAACAAATTGACTTCAAAAACACCTCTAGTGCTTTGGAAATTATGCAGGTGCTCAATAGAACGCGTGTGCATCCCACCAAAATATTGATTAATCGACGATGCTTCATCTTTTCGTAGGTCAAATGTGAGTATCACTTCGAACCTTCATCGATCTGCAAGTGGGGCGCACTCACAACCTCTCCTAATCCTGATGTCTATATCAGGCTGTCGCAAAAGTTTAGTCAGTAAGATGAAAAAAAAAGGCGATCAAAGTATCAAATTTTACTAACAGACGCACCTGGGGCAGGGTTATCCTAAGTTGTTACTAGTAACAACGGTGGGGTCGTACTTGGTTGAGTTTGTAGTTTGTAGTAGGGGGGCTCGTTTCAGGTATGCTGAAGTAAAGATAAGGGGCGCACGGAAAAAAATTTGCCGCGTTTCAGCGCGCGTATATACCTCTCCCCGCTCGACGGCATTTTTGGAGGGAAAAGTGGGCGGAGTTTGGTGGGTTGTGTGGTATCAGAATTAAATACTATAGAGACGATGATGGTGGTCGAGGTGTCGAAAAGGGGGTCGTATCAAATCCACCTCGTAGCAACTTTTTTCAAAAAGTAACAACGATAGGGCTGACCTGGGGCCGTATCCTATCCTACCCCTCCATGGCTACGACGTAGGCGAACAAAAAATCCCTCGAATTTCCTTTGTCATTCCAACCAAAATCGCCGTGAGAAACTGCATAATTGTAATGTATACTGTCAAAGCAAAGAAGTGCGGGAAGTAATTGAACAGTGTCGTTGAGAACAAACAAATTTAAAAGAACTCTTCTTTCGCCCCTGACCTGGAGAAGGATAAAATGCGACCCCTGTACATTTACCACATCAATCAATACACTTCTCTAAACATTCCATCCAAGTCAGGGCATTCTGACACTTCTCTTGCAGCAAATCGATACATAACAGTAGCTTCAAAGTTTCAAGTTTTTGAGTGAAAAGGATTTAATTAACTTGTTGCGAGAGGTGATGAACCGCCGCATAACCTCGATGCATTGCGAAGCTAGTTGAAGACTTGAGTAGCGGAAATGCACTGGTGACAATCTGAAGAACAGCGAGCACGTTCGATCGTTAGAGTCACTAAGAACCAGTTCAAACTGATGAAATTGCAAGTTTCAATATTTCTTGGCAGGGTAGTGTAGGCGACAAGTTTCACTGGCAGCTACCAAAGGATGGTAAGATAAATTTGCAAAACAATATTATATAATAGAGAAGAAAGTTTCTTCTTAAATTCGAACGTTTCGTGTGCTCATTAAAAACTTCCCCGTCAGGCTCAATACTACGACAAATCTACTTACTTCTTACTTCTCGACCGCTATTCGTCCCGGGCACGCCAGAAACGCAGGTCGCACATCTTCCAGGTCGCTCTGCTTCGGGCTCTTCTGCGCCACAACTGGCCGTACATCTTCACGAGAGGGTCTGCCCATCTGGTGGGGGTCTGCCTCTGGGCCTTGTTTTTCCCCTTGGGTACCAGTCAGTCACTCTCTTCGTCCAGCGATCATCGGTAAGTCTAGCCACATGACCGGCCCACCTCCGCTTGGAATTATAGATGGCATCGACGACGTCCTTCACCATCGTACGAGCGCGGATGGTGTCATTGGGTATGCGGTCTCGGAGCGTTACCCCGCACATGGCCCTCTCCATGGCTCGCTGAGTGACTGCGAGTTTCTCCTTCAGAGACTGTGGTGCTCCACTACAACAAATATTACAGCAAAAAGACGTGAACGAGAATCCCTGCTTTTTGCGTTTTTTTTGGAACATTCGGGGAAAATACTGAAATCACTGCTGAATATTCTCACATTGATCTCGCAATGTCAATAGGTATTTCTTGATTGTTGTTTTATGTGAGATGAATACACATGATAAGAATGTAAAAGAAAATTTGTTATAAATCTTTCCTTCCTCCTATTGCTACGTTGTGCTCGCGTGGAGCTCTGCGTTTTCCCATCTGGCGTAAGTCTACCTGGAAATTTTCAGGTCGATAAGGTTAAAATCACCTCTGTCGAAGTATTGCATATTACCTATATCCGAACGATGAAAGTTGAAAACCGCTGAATATGACTTTTGACGAGGACTACCCACGACAGCGTTCAACGACGACTATCAGAAGGCGATCACCAGTGAACAAGAAGTTCGGAGGTACGGAAATAGCCATGATGTTGCGTATGAACCCCTTACGAAACAGCGGAAGTAAATCATATTTTATAGTAGGGATAACATTCTGACGTGTGGGGCTCCAGAAGTCAGAAATCTGCATTCTCCTTGAGCATCACAGCATCCTATTAAACAAATAAATGTGTAGATAATAGAGATAATAGAGATTATTTAATAGAGACTGCAACTTGACTGTAATGGAATTCCATATAACCAGTTTTGTACTCTGGCAACCCCATAGAAGGCTTACAGAAGGATTATTCAGCTGAGCTCGAAAAAGGCTCGTTTTTTCTCATGAATGATATCTACACAAGTGACTGGGAAGATGAACATTGATAAACTCTGGGAAAGGTCGTGTTTCAAGAAAGGGTGACCGACTTTTTTGCTCTACACTTAGTTTAAGTGATATATAAATGCATTACTCAAAAAACACGCATTTATCTATCCAATTCTGAAAAGAAGTCAAACACGCGGCGCGTTTTCAAATTGCTGGTAGAGGTCTACCCCTTCACCTACTCGTATTTTGCCCTTCATATGAAGATATTTCAGCAACAGCCGCACAAAACAGGGCTTATGAAGATAATCGCATCAGGCCTTCGCATCATAGCACGAGAACTCCACTAAGGTACGAATGTTTTTCTCGTGGATGTGGTTTTATGTTTTATTTCGGAGTTCTATTATTAGATACTCAACCTATTCTCGTCCATCTCTTTTACTTTCTCTTTAGTGATGGACTTTGGAAGAACCCCTCGAACCGAGGAGAAATCGTTCCCGGTCCCGTTAAAGTTAATGCCACGCTAAGAGCTGAAAGGCCCGATTCACAGGTTTGTTCAGTCGTTCAGCCTTTTCCTCTTTTGGGATAATACATATTATGAGGCAACAATTTTTGCTGCATCAGTTGTTGTCAAGAGGGTCATAATTCGTTTATGACGGTGAAATTGGCCGTAGTGATGGTGAGGCTTGATCGGTGTGGTGTTAACCACGGTTGTTCCAGGTCCAAGTATCGCCGGAATCTTGGCGGAGGAATGCAGAAGCCGTTCGGGCCGCAAGCAGGGCGCCGTCCGGTGCGCAGTCTGAACGTATGTTTGTTTTGTCAGTGTAACACCACTTCTTCTCGCCATTCACAGTTTGCTAATTCTGCGCCTGGATAAAATTGGGGAACATAGCGGCTTGTTCATAAAATGCTCTAAAATTGAGCCATTACGCTATCAAAGACTAGATATTTAAACTTCAAATTCTGACAAGGAGGTGCGTACCTCTCCTCCCATAACAACCCAAAATATTGATTTCCTGAGAACAATATGGTCATATTTACTATAACTAGGACTTCAAATGCTAGCGATTTTGGTAAAACCGGATTGGAAGGAGTGGAGTACTCCATTGCGATGTACAAATAAAGATAAAAGGATAAGAACCCTCCTGACACATGGTCGACTCATTTGAAGTACAGTTCTGATAACTACCGATGTAGTGTGAAAGTATACCTGGTGTGCTTCCACATTTCGGCGTCCATTTGTCCAAGTAAGAGGTCCTGGAACAGGGAAACGGCTATCTTTACCTAGGAATGGGAGGAGGAGTCCTAGGGTGGAGCCGTAGGGTGCCATAGGCAAAACATTGAGCAGGGCACGGATGTGTGGGATGTGAGACACTCTCCGGTCAGAACGCACCGCGAATGAATCGTTTCACTCGTTCTTCTTTCCCTCGTTTTCCTCGTTCAGATTTTCGGGTCGTTGTCCCTAACGCTCCGTCAGAAACTAGGGAGAAGAGGTGTTTGACGATGTAGATAGCATATCTCATAAACAAACATTTGATACCCATGTTTAATGCCTTTGAGGAAGACGATATCGATCGAAACGCTGTATCCGTTTAGAAATTTCGTCACCCAAAAATATCGGCAAAATAAAATAGTGCATACGTTTTACTGTATTTCATTCTGTAATAATCCATGAGTGCTCGCCTGCTACTTGAATAAGTTAATTATGATTTCCCCCTAAACACGCCTGCTTGGCGTGCTTGCACCCAGAGATGAATGGTGAACTGTGCTTCCCCGTCCCCTATTGAACCGCATCTTCGATGACTCACGTGTCGCTCATAAGTCCAAGCACCTTCTGACCGGGCACCTGGGTATCTGGGAAGTCAATGTTCTCGCATCATTCAAAATACCTTGAGTATGCCGGCGTTGGGCGAAAAGTGAATCGACAAGATGGCGTGATTGTGCTACCAAAAAAGTGAGAAGTGTTACTAACGAAATATAACAGTGGTATAAAAATAGTGATAAAAATTGAAGTGAAAATGCAAAAAATTTTTCAGATATAACAAAACTTCATAAGTGAAATCGAATAAATAAAACAGAAAACATAAAACAAGGAGCGAGATGTGAGAAGTAAAAGAAGTAAAACTGCAAGTCGCCACATAAACCCCGTCTTAATAACGTACTGTTTTTTTTTAGGGCAGCCGCCTCAAACCTGAAGATGTGATCGGAGCCCCCCTTATAAGATCAAATTCTTCGGTTACAGTTTTCATGCCAAAAATTATTTAGTAGAGGTCGATCAATACCAGAACGACGATGAAAATATTAACAAGCACCTTTGAAGATTGATTGCGACCGCGATTCTGTGATGGTACTTATAAACGAAAGGTATTCAGCACCATAAGAAGCGATCGCCACTATAACTTGACTCTCCTATCGCACTGGGGTTGAACTATCTTAGCGCCCCATTCCGTCCTTATCTGTATTATATCGTGATCTTTGCCTGCGGTTTTTCGACGTCCTCCAGCTCTTGAACGAAGTTGAACGGCTTCAGTGTTGATTTTCGCACTGAGCTCTACGAGTGCCGATTGTTTGCCGTCGAATGCTTGACATCTACCTATTTTTATTGATTGGTTTTCTGCCTTCTTTTCCATGCTCTTTTGTAGTCATTGAAAACTCGATAGCTTCAAAGGAAAATACGGACATGTGCTAAGGGTGTTGCTGCGTCTCAGGAATTCCAATTTTCATAAAGGGAAAATCTGGTATCGTGCATTTTTTTGCTCTCTTCATCACCCCACTTGTCCGAGCTCTCTTCAAGAAAAAAATCATTACATCAACGGTATGAATTCGCCAGCCCCCTTGCATGAGACCCAAAATTTAATGGAAGAATAAAACTCTGAAATATCGATACGTATCAATCCATAATCTAGTGGATGGTGGAGTGAGGCGACGCCACGTGCCATGCGAGTCGTCCCCAGGAGGTCAAATTTGGGATCGAATCCATCCCAGGCCAGCCGAGTCTTTCGCCTCTGCGGTTCACTTTGTGGGGGACCAGACTCTGCCGAGACCACGAACGCGGACTTGTGGTAGCGATCAGAAGGTTTTGCCGGAACGGATCCTTCGTCGTATATTTACTTTCTGTCCCCGATCTATATTTGTTACTAATGTTTTTCTTTATTACCTGATGGAAAAAAATCCAAAAGCTCTCGAAGTGAGCGAAAGTCGTCCTTTGACCGTTACTGTAATATTGACTGGCCCTGTAAAAGTCATTGTAAAAGCCAAAATCTGTCTAATGCTTCTAAGTTTCTGTATTGGAGTAATTTTCTGGCTCATTTCACGAAAAAGGTCTTATCAACGCGGGTCGGCTTTGTCCTTCATTAATTCATAACCTCTTCACATTTTGTCTAGCTAATGGTCATTTACCTATTCCCGTTATCGTTTTGTTCTGTTCGCTTTCATATATGGGAATTAGAATAGCATCCTTTCCCTGCTTGTCTTTATCCTACAACATCAAACTCTTGTTCGCAAGGGTCAAATGGGTGTCACCATCGTGTGAGAGATTGAGCTGAGGAAAATGGGGGGGGGGGGGGGTGCAGTGCAGGGCAGGCGTTGAACTTCAATTTGGTGTCCTTATCTGTGTTCCAAGAGAACTTCTGAAAGCATGCCGATCAAGCCGTTAAACGTTCCCTTGAAATTTGCTTCCTTGCCTCATCCCAGTCCCTCCCCTGCAAGCAAGAGGGGCAGCGATTAATGAGGGTCTAATGATTTCTTAGCAGTTGCCCCTAACTCAATTAACTTACTGATTTGGAAAAATGATTTCACAACAGCCGAACAGGTTTGGAAGTGATTCTTGTATTAACAAGAACTTTGTTTGAAACTCAGGTACAGGTAGCTGGGCCAGTTATTGCGTCGTGCTCAGTATAAAAAGAGTTTTATGAGAACTGGTTGGCAACTACAATATCGTAATTTCTTTATTCGGATCTGCTGGATCCTTCAAATCCCTCTCGTCAGCCCGCGAACCGAGTCGAATTTCCTTATTTGATGAGCCCGACAGGCTATGACAGGGCTGGAGGTGTCACCTGTCTTTCGATTTCAACGTTCCCGTCTGTTGACACTGAGAACGGTCTGATACAGGTGGTTGAAACTTCTGAACTCTGCTCCATACCTCATAAACATCGACTTTCTAATGCCATACCTATTTTCTGACCTAATTTTCGACATCGCTCGAAAAATAAAATTAAAAACCATTCAGAAAAAGATCAAACAGTCCCTTGATTATTGCGATGGTTTTATATCGTTTTTTTTCATTGGTTCGAACTGCCCTGGCAAGTTTGAATTGTTGCGTTAACGTTAAGGACCTTCAATGATCATCTTACAACTATGCCACGAAGGCTTCTGCAACCGAATCGGAAATCTTTTCAGTTCGCTGCTATACTTGAACCTTCGGTGATCTGGTATGAAACCATCCTACTTCAAGAGGATGACCCATTCCACAGATCTGGAAACTCACTCCTTGAAGGAGCGTCTCGGTATTTGATCTTTCCCAATCAATCGAACTAATGAATTGATTTCTATTCATCATCTTAACACTATCCGGGTCAATTACATATGTGAGTGTGCTGGGGAGAGTGGAAGTAGTGCACTAACTTGTCACTGGTTCTTACACGCATGAGCCGGGTCTTGTCAAGAAAGGAGTGGATCTCGCTCAAGGTTTCTATCCCTTCGGGGTGGGTAGAGTAGCGTCAGAATCATCAGCGAGGGTAAATTACTGGTTTTTGCATCGGCTAGTTTTCATTGGGCAGATCCATTGAACTGCTTCTACAATTCTGAGTGGAGGTGCGTAGAGCACGTTGCGCATTCCTTGAAAGGATGGACTGAAGCTGAATGCATTCCTCACGGTCTCTTGATCCACTAAATTCTCACCCTCTACAGTGGATCGTTGCTGGAAACAGGGCCAAGTGACTAGCTTCATTCGTTCCATAGACTATGAATTCGTCCAGCTTCCTCTGACGCTCGGAACGGGAAAGTGATGATTGTCAGGCGAGGTTTCTCCAGATCACATTAATTGGGTACCAGGTTCTGGCGGACTGGAACGAGATCAGGTTTTGAATCGAGATGCACAGTTTTTGCTACAATTATCCTTTGCAGTTGAAAGTGTCGATTAGCCAGATCGAGAGCTAGTTTATCGCTGGATCTCGGAACGGTGACTATTCTCATCTTAAAGTGACATTGTGTAGGCCAGGTAACGCGTTAAAAAGTCCTGTATCTTTGTTGAAAGAATATCTTAAGCATAGCTTGCGACAGCGCAACTCACACTCAGCACGTGTAGGCTACCGATCCCAGGTAGTCATCCACATTGAGCGAAGGGATAGGCTTGGTGGGTTGGTCATGTGGGATTCACGCGGGATAACCCACCCACGCCCACAGGGCGAACAAAGTCTTTATGCAGAGACCATTGGCCCACACGTCTTGGATACCATTCTTTCAAGAAATTGTTGAATGAGAAATGTTTATCCCACTTAAAAACGATTCTCTTCACTTTCATCTCCTTTTGAAAATTTTGACTCTCTCCAAAGCTGGTATAGTTTCATCCATTTGGCCGTGAATTTTCAGGATATGTTTACTTGCCTACAATTTTCACTATTTGCTATTTGTTTCACTAGCATTAATTGCTTGCAGTCCTGTGATCTGACAATCACGTCCATTGTTCCAGAGGCCTTCCTGGACTTCCACAACAATCAGGCAATGGTCGGTCGCAGCCACAGGAGCGGCGCATCAAATGTGAGAGGCTTCTGGCAGGCCAGCGTAGAAGATGAGGAAAGAGCTAGGGTGAGTCTTTGCTTCATGGACCATCCTCAACGAGTCAAGCTGAATTAGTCAATTAAAGAGGGAGACGATCCGACACGCGTCATCAAAACCGTACAGTTTTCCGCGGTGGCGGTCTTCAGATGCGTTGTCGGCTTCGCTCGTGGCGTCGAACAGCGTGGATGTGCCGAAGGACAGCCGCATTCCCGAGCAGAGACTTCAAAAGATGAAGGAAACGGATAGATTGGCAGAGATTCATAAAGTAGGTGCAAAATATCAATTAAAATAAATACGCTGTGAAAAGAAGACATTCCGCTCTGATTTCTTCACTTTTTTCCATTCGACTTTTCAAATGCGCCAGGCCATGGAGTTCCATGAAAGGGATTATGTGCTTTCGTTTATAAAAGTCATGTGCATGTGAACTACCATTCCTACGTTCATTGCTTTCGCTCTCTCCAATATCGTTTTAGCGGTATTGCGATGATAGTTGTCTCGTGAATGTGCTATTAGGACTACGTGCGACGTAAGGTAGAGAGGGGGGGGTGTAGGAGGAGGGGAAGCTGTGGACACTATTCATCCCGATTTGGCATACCAATCCCCTCCATTTCGCTTCTTCTACTTTTTCTTCTTTAGCGTATCCCGCTTTGCGGCGGGGACCGTTTTCCTGTCATGACGATACGTTCTTTCCACCTTCCGAATGGAGATACCGTAGGGGCACCGTCCACGAGATGAAAGGAGAGCAAACTTTTTTGGATTTTGCTTCTGGCCCGATGTAAAATTCAATCAGTTCTCAATATCGAGGACGATCAGTATGGATCTGTAATCAGGATCGCTTTTCGAGAGATAATGCGCGTATTCGGGCTTGGTAGCTACTGATTCAAAAAACTAGTAAATGAGGAATGCCGAAATGCACCACGTTTCATTTTGCACTGAGCTTTGTCTTTTACGGAGTCCGCAATTACGGGCAAGTCTTACAATAAAGGAACAGCAGAAGCAGAGTTAGCTTGCTTTATCATAAATATAATATAAATCATTGAAGAGAAAGGTATTTCTGAACGAGTGGACCTGAGGAATTTCTTCTCAAAGAACTGGTACTGCAGACGAATTCTAGAATTTCTAAGCTTAGAAAATGCGTGTTATTTATTTCTAAATACAAACATACTCAAAAAATATCACCCTCTGATGTTCGCCATGTTAGAATGCTACATGGAAAAGTGGATTTACTTATCTAGTTGAAGTTTTCCAGGCTCATATCCATGAACAGGTGGGACCACCTCAGAGCCTACGTAAGGGCAAAAGCCTCGACTCATTGGTTCTTCAAGTCGATCATCAGCCATGGTTTGTATAAATCCACCTACTTTTTCCATAGTTCGAAATTACATGCATTCTTCTCTGCCCTCTCTTCTTTGAGCGAATCATGGAAATCTTAAGATGTTTATTTTTATAAATGTAGCCCTTTGATTTGAAAGAACCTATTTTTGTGGTAAAAAGCGTCGTAAGCCAGCGATGAGGATTCCTCAACGTGGAAGGGGAGCGAACTGTGGACAGCCATTTCTATTCAGCTGTTTTACTTCGAAGAGGGAGGTCGGGTTTGGCATAATCGGCAGGGGATATTCGGGGAAGGTGGGAGAGTGCTCAGTTAGAGCTTGAGGATTTTTTGAATGGGGTTTGGGAAAGATTTAGAACTTTTGACAGAATTTCTGAATTCCTCCCAATTTCTCTCCAATTAAAAGCTACCCTTTTCGCTGCGCGGAAGTAAACGATAGGTTTAAGGTAGGGCTTCAATCGCTAGGGCTACTATAGAAAGCTGAGGGTCGCTCTCCTGCACACGTGGCTGACATACATATAAAGCAGGTAACTAAAATACGTCGGAGTTACCGTAGTCTTTGAGGTACGATCGCAATAAAATCCGGGACTCGGTATGTAGGGAGTCGATCGGTAACATAGCGGAAGCCAGGGAACGCTTCGAATCACATGAGTTCTCTCGATTGAACAAAGGTACGCTCATGTGCTTTCGATTTATTAATTCAATTGATCTTGTACTGCTTGCAGTACCTTTCCGTTACGAGCGACTTATGATATCTGTAGGTAACCCCGTCCGCTCTAGGACACGCTCTACCCGTTCTGGACGCGCTTCCGGACACTAAAAGCGTGCTATGTTTTTTGATCCTTTCACCGATTTTTCTCTTTTCTTTGGTGACCGTCTGAATTTTATAATAGGCAACTTCCATTTAGAAAGCCCTCCACCCACTACGGGTATTTCTGCAATGTATAACGTCCAAACCCTAGGTATACCCTCATTTTTGTTCGGCCTGGGGCTGCTTTGGAACCGAGTTTTTGCTCCTATCACTAATTTCGGCGCTTTTCTGTCCATCATTCATCACTCGGCTAAG